GAATTACCTGACAAACATTTTAAAGCAACCACCATTAAAATGCTTCAAAGAGCAATGACAAATACTCTTGAAACAAATTAAAAAATAGGAAGGGAGATAAAATATAAAGAACTAAATGGAATATTTATCACAGAAAAATACAGTAATAACAACAGCAACGACCAAAACACCCACCTGAATGGAGGCACTCAACAGCAAAATAGAGGAACACAGTGACCTGGAAGATAGGACAGCATTAAATATCCAATCTGAACAACAGAGAGAAGAAAATAGGCTGGGGGATTAAAAAAAAAAAAAAAAGGAACAGCGCCTCAGGGACCTGTCTGGCTATAGCAAAAGATCTAACTTCTGTGATATCCAAGTTCTGGTAAGAAAGGAAAAGAGGGCAAAACTGAAAAAGTACTCAATTAAATAAGGGCTTAAAACATCCCAAGTTTTGCCAAAAACAAAAGCACAAACAAAAACACACAGATTTAAGAAGCTGAGCAAACTTCAAACAGAATAAACCCAAAGAAATCCATATCGAGGCACATCATAGTCAAACTTCAGAAAAACAAAGAGAAATATATATATATATTGAAAACACAGAGAAATGACACTACCTGTGGGGGAAAAAAATTTGAATGACAGCACATTTTCATTAGAAACCATGGAGGCCAGAATACTCTCATGTGCTGAAAGAAAAGAACTGCCAACACAGAACTGTATATTCAGTTGAAAGGTCCTTTCCAATGAAGGATCCTTCAGGAATGAAAGGGAAATTAAGACATATTCAAAAAAAGAAAAACTAAGAATACATACGACTAGCAGATATATCAAAACCACATAAGAATGGCTAAAAGAAGTTTCCTAAACAGAAAAGAAACAATAAAAGAAAGACGTCTGGAATGTCAGTAAGGAGGAAACAACACAACAAGCAAACATATTGGTAGTACTGGTAAATACAATGGGCTTTCCTTTTCCTCTTAATTTTTCTAAATTATGTTGACAGTTGAGGCAAAAACTGTAACACTGCTAATGTGATTCAAAATGTATATAGAAGAAATATTTTAGACAGTTATATTATAAACAGGGAAGGGAAGGGGACGTAAAAAGAGATAAATGTTCTACAGTTGACTCAAACTTGCTAAATGATGACGCTAGTAAACTACGGTCTCCACAGATGCAAAAAAATCATTTGATATAATCCAACAGATATTCCTGGTAAAAACTCTTGGCAAACTAAGACTAGATGGGAACTTTCTCTATCTGAAAAGGGGCATCTACTAAAAACTAACAGCTAACATCATTATTGATGGTGAAAGACTGAATATTTTCCTCCTAAGATCAGAAACTCTCACAGATTCTATTCCACATTGTACTGAAGATTCAATCCAGAGCAATATGGCAAGAAACAGAAATAAAAGCGAGCTAGATTGGAACTAGAGAAGTAAAGCTGTCCTCACTTGCAGATGACATGAGAATCTACGTAGAAAATCCTATAGAAACAAAAAGTTACTGGAATGTAAAAAGTGACTTTAGTAAAGATATGCGGTACGAGATTAATGTACAAAAGTCAATGGTATTTCTGTATACTTTCAATGAAAAATTGGAAATTGAATATTTAAAAATATCACTTACAATAGTATCAAAAAGTATAAAATATTTAGGGTAAATCTGACAGAAGATGGACAATACCTATACACTGAAAATTACAAAACATTGCTGAGAGAAATTAAAGAGAACCTAAATAAATAGAGAGATACTGAGTTCGTGGGTTAGAAGACTCAATATTTTTAAAAAGGTTTTTTTAATTGAATGAGTCTTTAAATTCTATAGTGCTTTACAATTTTCAAAAGTTTCACACACATGATTTCATATAATCCCATAATTACCCTTTTCCCCCCTACCCCTATATTACTCCTCCCCACTTCCCTCTCCCCACTAGTAACCACTAGCTTGTTCTCTATATCTGTGAGAAGACTCAATATTTTTAAGGTGTAAATTCTCACCAAATTGATCTGTAGATTCAATGTAATTCTGATCAAAATCTCAGCAGATTTTCTGTAGAAATGGACAAGCTGATTCTGAAACCCATATGGAAATGCAGAGGACTTAGAATAATCAAAACAACTTTGCAAAAGAAAAGCAAAGTTGAAGAACTTACATCACTTGATTTCAAGACTTATTATAAAGTTACAATAATCAGGATAGTGGAGCAAAGACAAGCATGAACACCAATGGAACTTCAGAATCAAAGTCTAAAATTAGACTCATTTATGGACAACTGATTTTTAACAAAGGTGCAAAGCAATGCAGTGGAGAAATGATAATTTTTTCAACAAATGTTGAGGGCACACTGGGATATCCAAAGGCCAAAAATGTGAACTTTGATCTGTACCTCATACCATTTACAAAAATTAACTCAAAATGATCATCATAGATTGAAATATCTATAGCTTCTAGAAGAAAATCTTCATGACCCTGGGTTAGGCAAAGATTTCTTAGATACAAAGCCAAAAGCATAATCCATAAGAGAAAAAAATGATAAATTGGAATTCTTTAAAATTAAAAACAAAAAGTTATTGCTAAGAAAATGAAAAGACAAGTTATAGTCCGGAAGAAAACATTTGCAAATCATGTCTAATAAGGGGCTTATATTCATAATATATAAAGAACTGCCAAGACTCAATAATACGAAAACAACCCAATTTTTAAAAAATGGGCAAAAGTCTTTTCTTTTTTTTTAATAAACTGGGTAACGTTCTTCCTTACTGCAAATATGAATTCAACTTCATTTTCCTAAAAACATGGATTAGAAGTCTCATGTGAGTCAAGGTCAGGCTCACTATGGCGTTGTTTCAACCACACTTCTACTATATTAATCACCACTATCAGAGAAACCCAGATTAAGATCTTTTAAATAACAGCTTGTATTTACTGAAAATTCTCTCTCTCTCTCTCTCTATATATATATGTGTGTGTGTGTATATATGCAAAATATTTAAACAGACATATCACTGAAGAACATATATGAATGACAAACAAGTATATGAAAAGATGCTCATTATTATTAGCCAGAGAGATGCAAATTAAAATCACAAAGAGCTCTCACTACGCATGTATTAGAATGATTACGGCAGAAAGTCTGACTGTAGTGAGCACTAATGAGGGCAGGGAGCAACTGGAATTCTCACATTTGGCTGGCGGGTTTTTAGAAATGATGGGGAGATCCTTAACCAAATCTTTTCAAACCCCACTCAAGGAATCCATTCAAGGAACTGTCTTAACTTCTTCCCTGCCCAACTGCCCCTTCACAGGGCCATGGTAAAGCCAGCTTTCCAGGGTCACACAAGGCCACCTCCAGCAGCAGTGAGCTTCTCACGTCAAGCAATCTGGAGTAGATCTAGTTTAACAACAATCTTTCTGGTGTTTTCTTGGAGGCCCCAGACTGCCCTCTTTAGGTTTGCTTGTCCTTGGATTGAGGTGACTTCAAAGGCGGCACGGTGCCCAGTGCAACGGGAAGAGAGGAAGGCAGAATGCACCGACTCTGCAATCTGTTCCTAACAGTTTTTTGAGGGTTGAACACAACTCTCGGTGTGTGTCAGCGCTTGAGCTGTGCGTTTCCGTCTGACTGTGTCTCTGCCTAGGTGGTAGGAAGGGCCCCGGGCTGAGGCCAGGAAGGACCTGCTCTAAGCTGATAAAGCCAACGCCCTTATGTCAGGAACCCTGTGGCTTTTCTGTCTTTGGAAGCAGCAGGAAGTACTTTTCCCCCAAAACACAGCCCTGTATATTGCTCGCGGGAACAATTCGCACACATCGGGCTGGGAGACCCTGAACACCCAGGGCTGTGTGCTTCATTTCAGGCGAACTGGACACAGTTTTCTCCCTTACACTTTGGAACTTCGAGTTCCGTGCCCGCCCCTCGCCTTCCGGGGATGTGCGGGGGAAGGCAGCCTCCAGGCTGGGCTGGAGAGGGGCGGGCTGCAGCCCCACCGACCTGCCGGGCGCGCGTCTGTCCGTGCCAGACCGCTCAGAGGTGCCGGCGCAGCCTAACCGTGACCTTGGCCGCGGTGAGGCTGGGCGTCCGCCGGCGCGCGCCGGAGCCGCAGACCCGGACACAGCCTGGCTGCTAGTTAAGCTTTGCTGTCTTTTACTTTTCCTAAAATAATTCGGGGGAGTTTCCATCACTCTGAAATAACCTGCGAAAACTCTCCGGAGCTAGAAATCAATCAACTCAAAAAAGCATGCTGATTTTTTTTTTTTTTCCTTTTTTTTGAACCCGTGGTTGGTGCGTAAAGGGAGCTGTCAATCTAGAAGCCCCCTGGGCCCCAAGTGAATCTGCAGAGCTGGTATTTTTAGAGACCGCGCTTTCTGAGATTCCAGCTGTGGACCCCGAGCCGGCTCCTGTCGCCCTCAGAGAGCACGTGGATTTGCAGCATATGATGCAACCCAGCGTGGGCTCAACCGATGCAACGCGCACAGAGCTGTAGCCTGAGAAGCTCCGGGACACACAGAAGGCCAGCTCGCATCCCTCGTCAATTTCACTTTTTTTTTTTTAACTCTCCACAGGTTCAGATGCCATTTGGCTGGGGAAAGGGATTCATCAAAGGTTTATAAATGAAGCAATCTACTAGTAAAAATAACAATCATCACATCATCTCACAGGGTGGCAGGATATTTTGTTTTTCTTTGGCAATGATCCGTAACTGAGTCATTGATTCAAATATACCCTACGAAGTACACATTTTTCTATGGAATGTCTCCCTAAGTAAAATTTGCTGGCTTGCTTCTGGATTAGGAGCCTGGTGAAGCTGACCCTGGCTGCAGGGAATGGCTTCCCATCCACGCAGGCACTCTCTGTATCCCTCCCTCCAGCAGGGATCTGGGCTGCTTTGGGCTTTGTCTTCTGTTCTGTCCCCTGAGCCCAGCACAGGGCTCAGAACACGGAGGCCCTCGTCCACATCCACTGGGGACCCAAGCTCTTCAGCTATAAAGTGGGACAATAATGCTTGCCTTACCAGCTTGAGAATCTCCTTGTAGGGATCCAGTTCGTAAAGAAGAGAGATGCTGGAGGCTGCACGCCTCAGCCTTCAGCCGTGTCCTATCCCCTCCAGCTCCTCGCTTTGCCCATCTGTGAAATAAAGGAAAGAAAACAGCTTTATCAGTAATGTTAGAGTCATCATTACAAAATCGTAACATTTGTTAATTCTGGAATGTGGGTACTTAGGTGTTTGTTATATTATTCTCTGCATTTTTCTGTATTTTTCAGTCTCCTGCCCCAATAAAAGAAGAGGAGGGAAAAATGTTTAAAGACTTGTAGAAAATCTGGTTTCCTGCAGTTGCACTTTCTCTGGTCCTGGATACAGGAAAATGCTCAGTAAACCGGACTCCTGGAGAAATGAGCAGCGTTACCATCACTCATCTTGTTTCTGCCCCTTCCTTTGTTCCAGGAATTTACTAAGACCCAGCAGGGGGTTTCACCCCTACTGCCACCCCCAGCTGTTTAAGGCAGCTGTTTGCTCACCAGGCTCTTCGACTTGGGATAGAAGTTTTCTAGTTGAAGGCAGGTGAGTCCAGAATGATGTCATTTATAACGTTCTGATTCAATTTCTTCCAAACCTACCCACCCCCTGCCGCCAACGATCCCGACCTGTGCTAAGCAGAAGCACACGTGTATGAAAAGAAAACCTCTATCTGTAGTCAGTAAAAATGTGCTTTGTATAACACAATCCCAAACTTCCTTGGGCTTCACAAACACACATGGCTCAAGAAAACTCGCATGGACATTTCCACTCCCCTAACTTAAAAACAGCCGAACTAAATTAAGTAACAACAACAACACTGAGTTGTTTCCCACAAAGTTTGCTGTGCTCTCACCACCAGTTTTCAGCCTGAAACAATTTCATGCTTGAGTTATTAACTTATGAAAATAGGCACAAAAGGGGAAAAATGCGAACAGATCCTCAACTATATTATTAGTCATTGCTACAGCTGACTGCATTCCGGCACAAAGCTTGTTATTCTGCCCGAGTATCTCAGCTTTGAACAAAATGTAGCTCACTAATGGGTTATGCCTCGTATACCTTTTCGTAATCATTACATTGCCGTTCTCTGTAATTTATCCTGGTCTCCATTAGGCGTATGTGCGTTAGTCAGGCATGCACTCGAGCACGCGCGCACACACGCACATACCTTTTAAGTCCCCTTTCATTTGTGGCTGAAAAGAAAGGTCATGCAGCTGTCAGTCATTTTAGGGCAACACCACTGTATTGATAAAGATAATATTTGGAAACCAGAGTGATGGGTGAATATGTGTGTAGTTTCTGAAAATATCGGTGGTTGGGGGGTAGCAACGTGAGTAAAGGAAGGGAATCTAGAAGCAGTCTGGAGAAGATGGAGGCAGAGTGGGAGAGTCTGATCAGGCTCACTTCGGGGGTCTCTATTCAGGAGGGGCAGCTCTGGACTGAAACTCCCCCGGGGTGGGGCGAGGGGGGGGGAATGGCATCTTTCTCACTTGCTAAGTGTGCTCAAGTCTCCTGTGTGAGCAGTGAGATTCCAGGCAAGAGCCCCGTTTGGGGATGTTTCTGGCTGGGGTTCAGAGGTGTTGCCCCAAAGCAGTTTGAGTCAAATGAATAATGAAGCCAAGTTTTGAGCCTATTGATTTTCGCTCCTGTAAAGTCCAGAACTGGTCCTAGAAATCAAGGCTTTTGAGTATTAACTTCTGGAAACGACAGCAAAAAGAGCCAGTAAGAAAATCATCAGGGGAAAGAAATACAGAAGGGATATGAAAAGCCTGGAGAGGATCATGATGTCATACAGACAAGTATGAATCCCTAGAAGCATCTCCTAAACAGATCAGAGGCTGGGATCCGGAAGCAGCACCCCCCGCCGAGAGCAGGGGGCCTCCCCACAGTTCTCAGCCAGCAAGAGAAGCCCTTGGCATCTTCCCCCTGAGTAGGATAATGGGATTCTTCACCAGACACTTAACCGGCCAGGAGAGGTAGCACTTGGGAGCCAAATGGGCTCTTTTAACTTCTTTGAAGTGTTAACGAATGCTTTGATTTTGTTCTTTCCTCCTCATTAAGACAAATGTGGTACCACTTTGCCCCAGGAATCTGATCTCACCTCCCAAGCCAGCTGCTCGTCTTTCTATTCAGATGAGTCCAAGCCCTGCTGGGGGTCTCCTCCTGTCGGGTAGCAGAGATGCCTGTCTTGCTGAAGATCTCTCTGCCAGGGCCTCCAAGCCTCGTGCTGCTCTCAGGACCCAGGACATACCACCACCAGGTCCCAGCTCACATAAAAACACAGAGGTGCTTGTGTTAATGCTCAGCTCACAAGGTCCTGTTAGGTACCAAGCAAACTCAGGCATGTTAAATTTGTCGGATGCTGTGCCCTGTGGAGGGGACCAGGCTGGACAGAACTCGGAGGACAGAGCCCCCCCCCCCCCCACCGCAAAGATCTGGAATCTTTAGAGATTATGAAGCCCAACTCGGCCCTCACCCCTCTTTCACCCATGACACACTGGGGCTAAGGGGTTCCACTGGGGCAGAACTGGAGCTGGAAGCAGCTGGCACTGAACCCCTGAGGCTCATGTGCTATCATGTTCCCCCACCCAAGCTCTCCCTCTCCCTCCCAATGCAGGGCAAATTCAGTGGGATGAGAGCCTGCAGACAGAAGGAACTGGGGGTCCTGTGGTTTATTCAGAGGCCACTGAAAGCAGCCGGGCAGCCTCTCACAGCCAGCGCCAGCTGGGGAAAGCAGGCCAGGAGGGCAGAACTCTGTGCCCCAGAGGCACGGGCTGAGCCCATGGGGACAGTCCTCGAGATGGCTACAGCCTGTGATGGGGACCTGGGAGGCCGGATGAGCTCTGTCAGGTGGGCAATGGGAGGGTGGGAGAGGAGCCTTCTGGAGAACAAAAATTCAAACCTGGGGAAACAACCCGCCTTAACTCATTGCATCTTAGTTATAATCTCCGCAGCCCACAGGATAAAGTCCTGCTAAGTGCGCATTATCTCATGGAATCCTCTCACCCATCCATGGATCGGTATCACGATTTGACCCTCTCTCCCCCATTTTCATTTTTACCATCTTAATCATTTTAAGTGTACAGTTCAGTAGTAAGTACATAATTATTGTTATGCAACAGATCTCCAGAACTTTTTCATCTTGCAAAACTGAAACTCTATACCTATTAAATAGTAACTCCCCACTGCCCCCTCCCCCGGCCCCTGGCAGCCACCCTTCTACTTTCTGTGAATTCGCCTACTCTATATACCTCATGTAAGTGGAATCATACAGGATTTGTCTTTTGACGACTGGCTTAGTTGAATTGGCGTAATGCCCTTGAGGTTCACCTCTGCTGTAGTGCGTGTCCAAATTCCCTTTTAAAGGCTGAATAATATTCCATTGTATGGACGGAGCACGTTTGATTATCCATTCATCTGTTGATGGATACATGGGTTGCTTCCGCCTTTTGGCTACTGCCAATACTGCTGCTATAATCATGAGTGCGAAAAAGTCTCTTTGCAATCTTGCTTTCAAAGCTTTTGGCTATATACCCGGAAGAGGAATTGCTGAATCATATATGGTCGTTCTATTTTTAATTTTTTGAGGAACCTCCATACCTCCATTTCCCACCAGCAGTGTATGAGGGTTCCAATTTCTCCACATCCTTGCCAATACTTGTGATTTTCTGTTTTTTTTTTAAAAATTTAATACTAACCCTCTTCATGGGTGTGAGGCGATATCTCCTTATAGTTTTGATTTGCATTTCCCTAATTCTCAGTGATGCTGACCATCTTTTCATGGCTTCTTGGCCATTTGTCTCCTTTGGAGAAATAGCCTTTCAAGTCCTTTGCCCAGTTAGAAATCAGATGATTTGATTTTGGTTGTTGCTGAGTTGTAGGAGTCCTTTTATATCCCCCCTCACCTTTTTTTTTCTGCTTAAAAAAACTAAAGGGTCAAAGAGGTGAATAACTTACTTACTCCAGCCTTCGGACAGGGGCTGCTTGACTCCCCAGCAGCCGGGAAAGCACCCTTACATGGGTGGCAGCCAGAGAGAGCTAAGGGCCCATCCTCCCAGCCACACGGGGTCAAACATCGTCCATTATAGGCACACCCTGTGCTCACAGCCTCGTGAGCCACATTGCTGTTGGAAAACCGACAGCAAACGCTGGTTGCAGAGACTCAGAAGCGTGTAATATCCATCTTAATAACGGTCCCACTTTCTTATTCTTCCCCCCTCAAGGAAGGGCAGAGGGAAAACGCTGCTCGTGGAAAACTACATTTAAATGGATCAGTGCTGGGCGACCATCTGCACATCTGTTCTTAACAGGTTTCAGCTGAAACTACTGAAAATATACACAGATCTGTTTATGTGGAACCAGTTAAATATGATAAGATTTCAACTTGGAGGGTAACTATGGATTTGGTGGTGGGAACACAAAAAGCCTCCCCACGCTTGGTCTCCACACACACTCCTGATACTTTACTGTAGATGCTGTCGAGGGAATCGGATTTACTGTGAATTAAAAAGATCTAAATTACTGGAGATTAGTTACAAACAAACTCAAGATGGTCCCAGCAGCCTTTCTTTCTACAGCACGTAATTCTTGCCTCACCTCCCATGTGGGCCGAGGGAGTCCTTTGTCATCAGAGAGGAGACCGCAGCTGGGAAATCACTTGTTTCTGAATAATTCTGTCTTCACTCCTCCAACAAAGCATTCAGGAGGACGACGGCATGCAGGCTGCTGACACACAGAGTACCCAGCTGACTTCCCTCCAGGAAAACACACCGGTGGCCCCTGAGGATGTGCAGGCAGAGGGGAGGGAGCTTTTACGGACCACCCTGTGAGGGCCCATTTTCATCCCGTTATAGAGATGGGAAAACTGAGGCTGTAGGATGATTTGCCCACAACTACCCCGGTAGGAGGGAGTGAGGTGCCCCAAAGGAAGACAGATTGTTCTTCCTATCTAAATGTCCCGTGAGGCGAGGCCACAACTCAGAGACCCACAGGGCTCAGTAGCTAAGGAGTGAGGGACCATGGGCAGCTAATAAGAAGCTTTAGCAGATTGATACTGGGGGGTCAGACATTGTGAGCCCAAATCCTCTGTTTTTGTAAAGAGAGCCCGAAGCCACTAGATTTTTACATGTTGGCTCAGGTATTGAAAACAAACCAAAAAACCAGGCCCTACTGTGGTTTGTGACCCCCATGGTGGGCCTTTGGGGCCTCTGGCAGAGGCTGCTTTGGTTTCACTCATTCTCCAGGTGAGACTTGGGGTCTGACCATCAGGATTCTTGTCTCCGGTGCAGGAGGTCTCGGTCACAGACAACGGGCGCCCAGCTCAGCGCCCTCGTCCCTGTCTGTCTTCTCAAGCCTTTTCCTGCAGCTTCGCAGGGCTCCCTACCTCAACTCCAGCACGTTGAATGTGCATTCATCTATAAACATTCATCTAATAATTTATCTCTAAAAAGGGACATCAGTCTATAAAATGCACCACAGGAAACCCAAGAATCGTAGTCACGTGGCCTCAGAAACAATCAGCCCAAACTGACATCTGACAATATCCCTGCCACACACACACCCCCCTCAGGGCCTGGGCTATGATTGGTAAGTTTTTCATTCCTGATGGACCCCATGCTGGGAAAATGCGCCTATCTCTGTTCCTTGAAAATCTTTTTTTTTTTTTTAATAAGCAGCCCAGTGGAAAACAATTGTGAATGGCAGCTTCGTTACATGTGGATTTCTAGAACAAAGAGAATATTGCTCACACTCAATGACCTGTTGGATGACACTGAATTTTAATTACAAAATGCTCACGTGTTAAAAATTGATGGCAAGGAACGTGTGACACTAGGGCTAAAAAAAAAAACTCAGAGAGGCAAAATATGGTTGACAGGCTGCCTCAATGATCTAGTCAATGTTATTTCACATTTGTCTTCTCTCTGTCTCTTTTCTTTTTTCATTTGAAATTTTCAGTTTTGAGCTAGAAGGCACGTACCTCAAGCTGTGTAGACCTCAGAGGGGGAGGCTGGTGAAATCAGCAGAGGGTACGAGGAAGGGAACCTTATTTGCCCTCTGGGGGCCTCAAATATCCTGTGCAAAGGATCAGCTGTTGTCTTAAAGTGTCCCCTCCAAGTGGCTACTGTCCCAGGCCACCTTTGAGTAGCTCTTTGAAAGGGCCAGTTTTTCTGAGCAGCAAATGTGGGGCTGCTTCCAGGTGATTGGTGGATCTCAGTAGCCTGATAACTGGAAACAAATTATTTTGAAGCAATAGATCAAATGGTGTGTGGGGAGGTGCTAGATGTTCAAGCCAGCCCAAGCTACACTAGTTATAAGAGAGTTTTCTTCTGAGATGATGCAATAATTGAACAGGAAAATCCTAGTGCAGAATGCACTGGGTTTAAGAAAGGCCGTCTAAAGCAGGCAAATGTTGTCCTCTTCCCCTCTGAACAGGCCTCTAGGACATGATGTGTCAGTTCATGTGCTAAAGCCCCACGAATGAGGAGCCATTTCGCCCTAATCGCAGAGCCTTGAGCTCTGGCCAAGGGGACCTAGGTGGAAAAATCACATCCACCAGAGCCTGTGCAAGGAGGCAGCTGCCCTGCATCTTGGGAGCATGGCTCACGCTGGGACAAGGGAGCAGGCTACAGGGTATTGGTGTGGCCTGAGCCTTGGCGATGGAGGTACCAGCCCCAGAGTGTGAGAGCCGGAATGCCTGCTTCCTGCCCAAGAGAACAGATGTACAAGAGTGGGCTGCAGAGTTAACCTAGAACAACAAAAAAAGCTAGAACAGTGCCTCAGACCTTGCTAGGAAGAGACCAGAAGTGTATTCAGAGTCCAGGGTCCAAACCAGGGGCACGGAATAGCACATGCAAAGGCCCTGAGGCAGGACCAGCCTGAGCATAGTGGGTGAGCCACAGCTAGGACCTAGGGGAGGTGCTGGCTGTGCACAGTGAGAAGTCAGAATTCCATTCTAAGAGCAACAAGAAGCCGCTGTCAGGTTCCAGGGAGGAGCATGCGTTTCCCAACAATCATGCTGGTCTGTGAGGAATATGAGTCTAGCGGGGTGAGAAGTTGGGCTGCGGGCGATGTTGTGGGAGACCAAGGGGCTGCATTTCACAGAGACAACCAGCAAGACATGGTGGGGAGCTGGGCGAGGAGGGTGGGGGAAAGGTCCATGGACAAGGCATTTAACCCTTGGTTTCCTGAACGGGAAAAAGGACTCAATAATTCCCACCTCACAGAGGGGATGTGAGGATCAGAAATGGTGCGTGGCGCCCCTGGCCCACGACAGGTGCCCAAGAAGTGAGAGTCCCACTGTGTACCCACTGCCTCCTTGCCCTCCTTGTCCCACGAGCACGGGTGACAGACGCCTGTCTTCAGCGGTGCCTCTTCTGACCCCTGTCCCCAGTAAAGTGGGAAGTAGCGCTGGGCAGCATCGGCGACAGGGCGGGTTTGGATTGTTCTTTCTGAGAAATCATGTGCAGATTCACAAGAAAAGCAGTGATGCAACAAACCTCCAGGTTCATTAAAAACATTCTGATAGCTAGTGGGAAGCAGCCGCATAGCACAGGGAGATCAGCTCGGTGCTTTGTGACCACCTAGAGGGGTGGGATAGGGAGGGTGGGAGGGAGGGAGACGCAAGAGGGAAGACATATGGGGACATATGTATATGTATAACTGATTCACTTTGTTATAAAGCAGAAACTAACACACCATTGTAAAGCAATTATACTCCAATAAAGATGTTAAAAAAATTTTTGATGGTTACGAAAAGAAAGTTAACTGGGTGCTGATGGGGACCCGCTGAATCATCACCACCACGAAGCTCTCTGTGCCTAAGGTGACATTACTCCCCAGAGTACAATCATGGCGTTGGACCCAGGACTGTCGTTCGGGCCAGGATCCCTGCGTCCACTCCCTGCCACACTGTCTCCAGCCCTCACCCCTGGAGAAGCAGGAGTGGGGAAGGTAGTGGAATTTCCACGTTCAGGTCCAACATGCCCTTCTGAGCTCGGAGCTCACACCTGGCCTTGCAAACAGTGCTACACTAGGTTCTCGTGGTCCTCGCGAGAGGGGGACGCTTGTGAAGTTTATTAACCGGGAAAACCGGGCCTTACCCTGTGGGGTCTTCCTACAGGCTGGGAGGGCTCCCTGGAGGAGGAAGCGGGTGTCAGAGCTGTGTGAAGGATGGGGAGCACGGGGCGGGGTTCCCAGCTCAGCGCGCAGCCTGGAGAAGGGCACATGACCAGTTTTCTCTGAGCCAGCACATTTTCCATTCTAAATATAGCCCAGGATGAGCCAAGACTTCTTCCCCTCGCAGGGAGACCCAAAGTTCTGTATTTTTCAGCATTTCCGTGATGGCTGGGAGAAATAAACAGCGAGACTGAGGCTCTTCACTCCCACCCCCTGATCCCGCGGGGCCCTGGGGCCTGAGGAATGATGTCCACCCCCCTTGAGAGCAGAGCCCGCCCTGTGTGAGGAGCTCTCTCTGGCCACCACCCTTTAGTAGGTACCAGAATATTTGGCCAGCCTGCATCTCCCTCCAGCAATGTGAAGCAAGGTTTCTATTCAGCCAGGAAGGAACATCCATCCATCAGCCCAGGCCGCCAAGAGTGACTCTTTCTACCATCCTCAGGTCGGTTCACCTTGGGCATCTCAGGAGTGAGGCCCAGCCTGATAGGTTTTCATTGGACAACAGATTCCCACCTTCCTTCTGAGTCTTGCTGGAGCATCAAGCTTATCCTTCCATCCCATTTCTGGAAGGTACAGGACCTGAGCCTTTGGCAAAGCGGGTACCTGCCGCGGGCCTGGGGCACACGGGTGACTCTTGGCTCTGAGGTCCTTTGCTGCTTGTTTGTTTATAATCGATGGGATCTTTTTCTGTATCTGAGTAGGGCTCTGCTAATTACTGCACAAGCACTTCTGGGGGAAGTTCAAGTTTCCAGAGGCCCGCTGTTAACTCTGACAGGGCTGGCGCTTCCCAGACAGGGCGCCTGAGGGAGTTTGTGAAGATGCATTACAGGAAGCGCAAAACGCAGCGCTCATCCCCAAAGTGTTAAGGACCGAGACATGAGGACAGTCACGTTAGGGTACATCTAGCAAAGAGTGAGCAAGGCAGGCAAAAGAAAAAAGGAAGATGGAGAGGAAAAAAAAAAACCACATGGATACACTCCCCTCCCCCTCCGGTGGCCCCCCGCCTTCTCCCCTCCCCCTGCAACAACCCAACATACACAGACACAGACAGGGCAGAGTTAAATCTGGCACACGGTGACTACAGCAACGAAAGAAAACATATCGAGTTACGCAGAGCCCTGTTCAGATTTGGGCCTGGGCCTCCCTCCCACAATGCTCTGTGGAGGAGAACAGGCCTCCTTGGTGTGGTGTCAGACCCACGCTCGTGAGCTTTGCTCGCCTTACAACGTTCGCTGGCCCGGCC